AAAGCGTCTCCTCGAAGGGCAATGGTCAAATTTATTGCCTTCTCTCGTTCAGACCACTCGTTTGCTCTGGCAGCTGTTTCGAACTGCTTAAGGTAGTTCGTCCATGACATCTTTCCGTCGAAAGTTGGGGCCTTAACACGAGGAGAATTTACAGCTCCTTCCAATTTCACCTTCGACTCCACCTCATGGCACTTTATTTCACCGTCCTTGGCCGGTTCTGTATGTTCGAGTTCTCTTATCTTCTTTTCCATCTCCTTTATATTCTCCTCAACGGAAGACATTATTTTCTCCTCGACTGATGATATCTTATTTTCCATGGAAGAAATTTCAGAAGACACTTTTTCTTCTAAGGAAGAAATGTTAGACAAAAATTTATTTTCCATACAAGACATTTTGTTTTCCAAGTCGGAAGAAATTTCATCTTTTAAAGAGGAGATATCAGAAGAAACTTTAGTTTCTAAAGAAGAGATTTCGTTCTTCACGGAAGAAACATCAGAAGACACCTTTTCTTCTAAGGAAGAAATGTCTGAAGAAACTTTATTTTCCAAAGAAGAAATGTCTTTATTTTCCAAAGAAGAAATATCGGTTTTCATAGAAGTCATAAGACATTTCGGTTTTTAAGGAAGAGATTTTACTTTCCATATCGGAAGAAATTGAAGAAATTATAGCAGAAGATGAATCATCAGAAAATAGACACGTTTCCGAATCAAAACCTTCATTTTCTAGTGCTTCTTTAAGCCTCTCTGCCAGTTCTGCTTTCTTCCCTATCGTCTCCAACTCACGATCTTCTAACTCCCGACGTAGCTCGGTCACTTTTAAATCACACAGTCTTTTAGCCATTATTGTCCACTATTTATTTACACTATCTCACTTCTCGACACCAATGTGATGTTTGTTTATTTTCAAACAACAGTTTATTTATTAATAATTTATTTAAACACTTATTTATTTTAAACAATACTATTTTAATTTATGTATACTTCGAATGTCTTTAAACTGATCACTATTTATATTCACCACTGTCTATCTACTAATTACTATTTATCTTCACTGTCCATATAACTACTGATAACTGATGGCTCTCCTCCAACAATTTATTTACAAATTGGTGGTCTAGAATGCTCCCCCACCAAAATTGTCAGAAGGTGCCAGAAACGTTATCACGTTCTAGAAATAGTATCTCGTTGACTCTGGAATGTTCGCGAAAGTGTCTCCACCATAGTCGTCCCATAGGTTTGGTCTTAAGGGGTTTTATTTATGTATAATATTCGGACAAGTTGAGTCTCAAAGGCCAAATAAGACAGAGAGGGACTTGTAGGGTTAGAGCATGACTGAATAATGAAATGGCTCACATAACAATATATAACACACAAGGTTAGAGTAACAAAATAGAAGTATTGCTTTATTTCTTAAGAATTACTCTAATCTAAAACTTTTCTAGTATATTGTAAAAATTTATTCTATACGTTATTTAGGTACTGCAAAATCTATAGGAAAGTATGTTTTGTTTTGTTACATCGAGTATTATTAGTAGACATTAATAAAAATTCCATTACTTAAAAAAAATTGGATACAGACGTATTTTTTACTTGATAAAGATAAAATTAACTGAATTTTTCTGTCAGTTCGCAGTCATTATTTGTTTTCATTTGCAGTACTTCACCTTCTACCGACCTCTGGTGGATTTTTTAGTATTATGCACTGTTTGGTGCCATATTTTAAAAAGAGTTGAAACGCCTGTAAAATGTCAATTCACCGTGATATAAAGCAATTAATTTGTAGGAGAGATTCTGCGGTGACGTCACAAATCGACCGTTACAGTTCACAAACAGATTTGAGAAACTAGAGTATCATGTTTAATAGTATATGGTAAAAGAGGCCGAAAGATGAAAATTAATAATTTTGGAATATTCTCCTTATTTACCGCCATTATTCGACGCTCCGCTGCTAGGTCTAAACACAAACAAAACGCATACGAATTTAAATAGCGATCATACCATACCCGGACGTGAAATTAAATTAAAGGTATCTTAAATTGTTACCCAAGTGTTGGTTGCATAAAAGATAACTTTATCCAAGATTTATAAATCTTGGTATTATTTTTATCCGGAGATAAAATTTAAATTTTGTTTGATAAACGTTTTTGTTATATGGATTAAGTATTTTTTGTGAACAAATCTCATTTGAATTTTTAGATGTATATAGTCAACTGCACTTATTTGTCCATGGAAAAAATGCAATTAAAAAAAATTACAGTTCTCTGTACTTTCTCTCCCTTGTGCGTCATTAAAACAAACTGAGGCCTTAAATGAGCAATCCCCCTTATTTCCTTTCTCACAAATCTACATACTGACATTGGGCGCGTTCAACCGACGCAACAGTTGAGTATGGTGACTTGATGGGTCTTCTGAACGTCACTTGTTGAGTTTTGGTTAGTTTCAACCGTTGCTCAACATCGGCACCACAAAAATTCTATGGTGACTTTTGTAAACGAAGTATTGTACTCAGTGTTGCAAACTAAAGGAATTTTAAGCTATTGCATAGCTTTTATCGCGGGCTTTGAGCGGCGACCGAATCAAGAAATGTTGTAACATCGTAACGAAAATAAACCTAACACCCTCACTCCGACCGGCACAGCGGTGCGGCGTTAAAGCCATGGAAGGTTTTATCCGACCCTATTCGTATTTGTATGAAGCTGAGTTAAATGTACGTCTGCGGACTGGAACATTTATGCAATACAAGAACTAGAAGAGCTTTCTCTGGCTTCTAATAAATTGGTATCACAAATTTTCCCGTCTGGCGTAAATATTAGATATTAATTTTTAAGCTATTGCATAGCTTATATCGCGGGCTTTGAGCGCGGCGATCGAATCAAGAAATTCCGCGAAAATAAACCATTGTCTTCATTGTCTAACATCGTTACAGTTCGGCAGACTTCGGCACGGTGTTTATGTGCGTGCGACTAAACGTATGCGTGTAGACTAGCTGCTAACTGCTAACTGATTCTATCTCTTTTAAACACAATGCTAGGTGAGACAGCGTGCTTTTTGGCCGCGTCCACGAGTGAGTTCGAGCCCACTGGAGTTGTACAGTATATTTTTTCTACGACTCACTAACAAAAATAGAAAAATCGAAAAATGGAAAATTGGAAAAATGGAAAATATCAAAAAATCGAAAAATCTAAAAATCGAAAAAGAAATTCCGTAACGAAAATAAACCTAACACCCCCCACTCCGACCGGCACAGCAGTGCGGCGTTGAAAGCCGTGCTTCGTCTAACGTCGTTTCAGTTCGGTAGACTTCGGCACGGTGTTTGTGTGAGTGCGACTAGACGTATGCGTGTAGACTAGCTGCTAACTGCTCATAACTGATTCTATCTCTTTTAGACACAATTTCGGAAAAATTGAATTTGAAAATGAATAATGATCTACAAGAATCCACAACAAAATATGGGACCACCATTGACGCGGTATTTTCCAGATATTTAGAGGATATCAAGTCTCAAACTTATGTTTCTTATTTCAGTTACCATAAACCTATAGTTTCAATGATAAAAATTCCTGAATAACCTGCATGTATTGTAAGATAATAAAAATATTTTAAACAATATTAACTTCTCATTTATTCAATAAAAGAAAAAAAATTGTTTTCTTATGGGTCGCCACGCTCAAAAAGTGTAACTTGAATTAATATGAAAGAAAAAACTTGAATTAATATCAAAGAAAAAAAATAATGCATAAATAAAATAAATATTAATAATTGCATAAGTTAATAAAAAATGCTATGCAATAGCTTTACCGCGGCAGTCCCCGAGTGCCACACGTATTTTTTTATTTTTATCCACTCTAGGAGGATAAAGCTGATTATATGTGATTATAACCGCACATTTCTTAACTTTGAACATGATTTTTGGTATTTTTAAAATTCTAAAGTTAAACCATGATGAAAAATGTCCGTTATGACTGATTATGACACTGTCTAAATCGGATAGAGATTCCCAGACATTCTGTATTGATATACCAAATAAATTATCAAATTATTTCTGCTAGAACTCAAACTTCTCTATACAAATGCCAATATAATCCTTTAAATAATAATACAGATTACTTTTATCATTATGATTAAAAATAAAAATCTTCGGATAATAGCTTTATGCAACCCAAATATAACAGTATCTTAAAAAACAGAAAGAAAACCTAGAGATAATAAATAACCTACGATTATACTTCTTGTCCCACTTATATGAAACAATTTTTCTAAACAAAATAAGAAACAATAAATGCTACCTGTCTATCAAAATAAAGACGTTTTGGCAACATTATCAATAATATACCCACTAGGCACCTGTCAGCACTGAGCTATTAAAATTAAATAAATCATTTCTAACGAATCTACCCGATGCCATGGCGTACGTCTATTTTATTTTTTGAACTTAAAAGAAAAATTCAAATATTAACCAGTTTCAATAGCTTTGTTCGCGGAGCCTGTCATCGACAAGTCTATGACAGATAATCACGTGCATTTTGATATTAAGCCGAAAATCAGGGATTTTTACGAAATGCCCATTATTCGCGGAGCACTTGTTATTAGTACAAGTCACTCACCAGTCAAAACGATCACCAAAGATTAGAATGGACAATTTGTCAGGACATGCATAGTAAGTACCTACAGGCACTGCAAAAGTTGCGTTAGGGAAGAGGAAAAAGGAACGGGACAAAGACGAATGGTTGCTTCAGTCTTTAATATTATGCCGACTATTCCAGTCGTTCGTGGTGATCTCTTGTCAGGGATTTGTTTCAAATCGCAGTTGCGCACAATTATTTGTGATTATTTACCAGCGACAAGTCGTGTACTTGTCGGCGACAGGCTCCGCGAACAAAGCTAATATGTATGTACACAAATGTATTTTAAAAACTCCCTTTATACAGAGGTAAAAAGTATCTGCTACTGCTTGATATTTCTATATTAAAAAGAGGGAAAAAATGAATGAAACCAACTTACTTTTACTTGTAGAGAAGCCACGAAATCCAGCACGAGAAACCCAGCTCCCATGTAAAACGCAACGGCGTAATTCTTTTGCGAGTTGCCCTCACTAGATGCGTCTATCAAAACACCCGCAAGAGCTGCAACAATTCCCCAGCCTAGGGATCCAAACATCCGTTGATAACCGTACCGACTAGGCTTGTCTCCTTAAAAACGAAATTAAATTATTTATTTTTACTTGTAGTAGTTGTAGTTGATATACCAAGGTTGGCCCCATAAACATAAAGTTTTTGAGGCCAACACGAGTTCACATTCTTAGTGTCCTTGGCAGAAATTCAAAATTCTGATCGAACATCGATGCCAAGTTTACAATAGTAATGCAATTACGTTATTTCGTTATCAAAAGAAATTTGATGTCTGACAACAGCGTAATAACAAGAAATCGAGATTTATAAGGATATGTTGTAAACCCGTTTTATTCATAATTTAGTTTCGAGATTTGTTTATCAAAGTTTAAGTATGATTGATGCCTAGAGGCGTACAAAAACAAATCTAAATACGTATTTACAGTAAATTATTTGTAGATCTATAGTTAACAATTTACTTCAAATATGTTAGATTTAACTGTAAATTGTAAGTAATCTGGCGTCTTAATTATTGGAAAAAGACTTTTCAAATGAGTTTCTGAAATATTAAGAAAATATATTTTTGTTCTTTTATATAGAAATATGCTATTTTCATTGTTCTTTGCGAAAAGTTAATTTGATCCAATTATAAAAATATCACAAAAACATAAAAAATATACATCACTGGCTATTTTCAGCATGATGGAAAAGCATCAAGTATAAAACTAGAGACAGTAGAATCCGCCTTTTTTTGCGGGCTAATTTTATAATAGAACCCGTAAAGACAGATTTAATCAAAGGAAGCTTTTATTTAAAATTTACGTTAAAGTTTATTTAAAAGAAGTTATGGTTTCCTTACTACATTTTACAATGTTAGTATTGTTGATCTGTATTTAATTATAACATTTACCGGAATATCCACAATTTAAAAACTTACAATGGCTATATCTCACGAACTAAAGATGATAACAGAAAAGCAAAACCTATTAAAAACAATTTATTATGTACTGCTTGGCTAGAGAAATATTTAAAAACATTATAAGTAGGTACTGATTTTATATTTATAAAAAAAAATAATTTAAAATTTAATAATTTAGTTTTGAGTTTAAGCTTAAGATATTTTTTATTATTTTTTCATTCTCTATTTTAATTGGGAGTAACCCTGTTAAAAAAATTCAGATAAACATCCAATCTTCATTTTAAATGGGTTTTTAATGATGTGCTATTGAATCAACCTGTAGGTATGGGGTAAACTTATATTATTTAATAGCATTTTTATTGGCTTTCCAATGATATATTGTTATGACGAGTAGGTGGTTGCAATTTATTTTTGTTGAGCTTGGTAGGGCTTAGAGGGTTAATGGGGAGTGAGTTATGTATTATGTCATTTAAGTTCCCCTTTCGTATCCTAGAAATAGTCCCTCATCTGACTGCAAGAGTCACACGTCGTTTTCTTGCTTACTATTTGCTGGTACTGAAATAATATGCTACTAGACGTCTATAATAATAAAAATATCTTTTTTGACGTCCAGTTTTGCTACTTCCGGTGTAGGGATTTCGGTTGGGTGGCCGTATATTTATGTTTTATAACGAAATTCGGGATAAAATTTTTCTGAACTTAAGATGATATCGCAAGCATTTTTTTGTGTCAGCGAAAAGGTTGATATGCAAAAAAATGTAACTTGAAATATGTCTAAAATCAGAACTAAAAATCTAAAAGTGGTTTAATTGCTTTCAAAATGTTTGTATGACTATCAAGTAAAAGTTTTGCCCTTGCAAGCATTTTTTATTTAGTAGTTTTACCCCATTTACCATCAAATAAACTATTTTTTTGACACGTTCTTCGCGAAAACTCAGGGTAAATAAGAGGGCGAAAAGGTAAAACTGCTAAATAAAAATGCCCGAAGGGTAAAATTTTTAAATGAAAATCATTCATTTATTCATAATAGTTCAACCATTCAACCTTCTATTCACTGCGCGTTTTCTATAAAAAAAAAATCAAAATACATAGTCTAATTTATGGGGAATGGGCTAGAACCACTGAATAAAAAATGCTTGCAAGGGCAATACTCTTAGTTGAGAATCAGACAAACATGTTGAGAGCAATTAAAGAACTTCGATTTTTTTTGTTCCGATTTTACACCTATTTCAAGGTTACCATTTTTTGCATATCAACCCTTTCGGCGAAACAAAGAAATGCTTAGGGTCAGAAAAACCGTATTTATGTTATAAGCCCGAATTTCTTTGAAAATCACAAATATCCGGTCACATGGCCGAATTCCCTATGGCCTACACCGTACGTAGCAAAACCGGACAGAAAATGCTTGCAGAGATTTTTTTTTAATTTTATAGACGTCTACAAAAAATCCATTGATAAGTAACTTTATTTTGAATCTGACAAGTTACACAACTGTTCCCACCACCGGGACAGTACAAGTTGCTCACCTCCCTCTACTGTACCCAACTACAACAAGCAAAAAACACATGTCACTATTTGTAGTCAGATGAGGGACCAAAGGGTTACAAACATTTTCTGATATCTTAAGGAGGTCCTTTCGCCACCAATGTTAAATAAAGAATATTAGATTATGACTAAAATTAATTTTTTTCTAAAAGTTGAATTCCTTATTTATCTAATAGTGAACTTTTAACTATACCTTACCGTGCAAATTTTTGAGAATTTTTTTTTTAAATATGCGTATTTGTACAGTGTCTTACGAGAAAGTAAGACTTTAACAACAATTTTCGAATTATAATTAAGTATACTAATATTTATTAATTAGATGGAGTAGAAAAAAACTAAAAATAAGGTTTTTGAAATATTTAGGTTTTGTTTTTTACAATAAAATATATAAGTCACCGTGGAATTTATTGAAAAATTAATATTAAAAAATCACAAAAAATTTTCAACTAGGTTACTTGAAATTTTTTTTATATTAATTTCTCAATAAATTCCATGGTAAACTATATATTTTATTGTAAAAAACAAAACCTAAATATTTCAAGAACCTTATTTTTAGTTTTTTTCTACTCCATCTAATCAATAAATAATATTATAATTCGAAAATTGTTGTTAAAGTCTTACTTTCTCGTAAGAAACTGTACTCACATTTAAAAAAAAAATTCTCAAAAATTTGCACGTTAAGGTATAGTTAAAAGTTCACTATTAGATAAATAAGGACTTCAACTATTAGAAATAAAATAAATTTTAGTCATAATCTAATATTTTTTATTTAACATTGGTGGCGAAAGGGGTGGCGAAAGGACCTCCTTAAGTTTATGAGATGTCATTGTTTTTAAATTGTCACCCGGTCGATAATAGTTGAGATATTACGATTTTTAAAATATGCAAGAAGCTTCTGTTCAATGGTGAAACTGACATATCGAGACGTGACAATTGAATGCTCACAAATTAGAAAAAATCGAATTGATAATTATCGATACAAATTATTCACATACTTTGATTTTCTTTTACTATACGGAGAATGGTCGCACTGCGCAGCTTTCTGAGTGCCTTTTAAAAGGAGATAGAAAACTCCGCCATTTTGATCCCTTATTACGTGTTGCCTACATCTTGGCGCAATATTTTTAATAGGTGCGTTTTAATCATCCGCTTCTGCTTCGGAATTGTCGGTTTTCTTGTTTTAATCTGACAGGTTAAAACGACTAAACCGACAATTCCGGAAGCAGAAGCGGATGATTAAAACGCACCTTATATTTTGCTTGCTGCTGTCAGTGTCAGTGAATATTATTTTTGGAGTCACAGTTTATTGCTAAAGAATCAGCTAACTCGAACCAGTTGAAAGTTCCAAAATAACATCCACTCCACTCCAGGATACGCAGGAGACTGCTGTTTTTTTATAGGCGGTTGTCATATATTGTATTATCCGAGTTGCGTAGTGTATACACTGGAACATTGAGATCAAAAGTGCCGACGCAAGAGTGAGCGATCTGATTCTTTAGCTATAAACTGTGGCATAGGAATCAAAATGGCCGCACCCTATGTTGGGCGTGTCGGACCTCTCTCTTGCAACGTATAGTAATCAAAGTATGTGAAATTATTCTATCAGTGACAACAAGCAAACACGACGCCAATATTGCCAACTGATGAAATGATTAAAAAAAAAGGATAGATGAACGGAAATTAAAAAAAAATTGATATAATTAAATCGGTTTTATAAATCCTCACATATAGAGTATGAATATACAAGGTTTCCAAGACACAGGGTGTCAAAGTTAAAAAAACAATAGGTTTTTTATTAATATCTCAGAGATCCTTTTGTCGTTTTTGTTGAAATTTGGCAGTGTACTTCATTGTGATATGACGGTAAGTTAACAATAACTGGATAATAATTTTGAGTTCCAGTGCCGTCGCGAAGGCCGTCTCATGAATAATATTGACCACAAAAATGTACCCTATTGATTTTTTAAAAGTTTTTTATATTTTTTTTCGGATTAAGCAGCTAAAAAACAACTTTTTTGATTCCCGATATTTTTTCGCATCTTACTTCGTTTTCGAGGAAAAAATAAAAACCACTTTATTGCATGTCAACAATCGTTAAAATCAAATCAAGTTAACTTTAATCGTTGCACAATATTTATTTATAAGCCAGTTTTAAAGTCGAACAAATCAAAAATAATAACAATTTAACAGAATATTCATAAGAAATGTTGGAAATGATACCACCTCCCGCATTTATGCAGACTTCTGCGCTTCATCTCATAAAGTGACGAACGCTTTCAAAAATTCCATGAGTGTTACGTATGGTTTTACATTCGTCAACAATTCTATTCCTTAGTGGTTCTCCTGTCTCAATTGGTGTAACATAAACTAATGATTTTAGGTGCCCCCATAAATAAAAAGCTAGGCTGTTCAAGTCGGGCGATTTAGGTGGCCAGAATTGTGGTCCTCCACGACCTATCCAAATATTTTGGTAAGCTCCATCCAAATACTTACGAGCCAATATGCTAAAATGGGCTGGAGCACCATCATGGTATATAGAATAACTTTTTTCATAAAACTAATAACAAAAAAGTTTCCCAAATGATGCCGACTTAAGTAGACACACTGTATATTTATT